TATATATATATATATATATATATATATATATATATATATATATGCCTTTGATACAAGGTAGTCACAATTACTTACAACCATCCGATGTAAAATTTGATAGCTTGATCAATTGAATAAATTGTATCCACTCAATTTTGCATCCAATGTTCAATATTAATGTGACCACCTTCTACCAAAGGTAAATTATTTCATTCTATACTTTCCTATATATATGTGTGTGTGTGTGTGTGTTTGTGTGAGAGAAGTTAAAAAAAAAAAGGTTAAAAACTATATATACTATACATAAGTGGCATATTTAGGTGACATTTTTTTGGATTAGCATTTCAGTTACATTCGTGTCACAAATATTCGTTTCTATGTAACATAGTCATCCACACATGCTCAAGAAGATTGAATCCACATTATTTGTGTCAGACCAGCAGATTGTTTTAAATGAAGCCAGTCGAGTATATATTTGTCGAATTGGCACATAGTTCAAGATGATGCCAATTATCGCACTGCTAGATCGATATCAAGAGCAGGTGAGAGAAACGCGTTATGGGGAGGGATTTTCATCCTTAAAAAGGAACTATGTTTTTACTCTCAGAAGTATAGCCAGTATAGTTTACAAAGTATTTTGGAGGTGGGGATTTGGGAACGGGATTGGGGGCCACATGCTTAAATGTGTTAACAAACATGGTGAAAATAAAGTTTGTAAAAGTTTTTTTTAAACATAAAAATAAAGTTTACAAAAAATTTTCCTGCAAAATATTTACATATATAAATATTTTTTCTGGAAAAATATTTATGCACCAACCAAATGTGACGTAATGAATAAAACATCAATGCATGGAAATGAGATGCAGCTGTCGGCCAATTGCCCATTTCCAAATTTTAAGCTTAAGGATAAAATCGAATATAATAAAATTAAATGAATACACTAACCTTAGGTTGCACGATAATAAAGAAGCACACAAAGTGGCCCTTGTGTATTTTTTTTTTCCAGCCAAATCTGCAAAATATAAATCGGTTCAACAGTAAATGATTTTTTGCAAAAAAAAAAAAGGAAAAAAAAAATCAATTTCTACGTTATTTTTTATTTTTTATTTTTATTTAGCGATAAGTTGGTAAGTGCTGAGTTGACTTCAGAAAAAAAAAAATAGGACCAAAAAACGAGTCAAACAAAAAATGTTTGGCCTCGAAGTGCATGACAGTGTTTTTTTTTTTTTTGACAAATGTTCCTTACTTTATTTAAAGAATTTGCTCAACGAAAATTACATAAAAGGACATATCAAGAGCATATAAGGAAGCCCCTTCTGTAGCAAGAGAGTCGGCTAAGGAATTCACGTCATGATAGACATGAAAAAACGAGACAGAAATTGGAGCCACCAGGTCCATAATATGCAACCAAGAGGACCTCAGCTTCCAAGGAATACCTTGTTCCTTCTTGCACCATTTAATAACATTCCAACAGTCTCCTTCAATAATGCAATTACCCCCCAGATTTCTAGAGATAAAAATTTTTATTCCTTGCAATAGTGTCAATAACTCTGCTTGGTTAGCGGTGGCTACACCAATAGGGCCAGTATATGAGAAGATAACATCTTCAAAACAGTCACGGACCACTCCCCCAACACCAGCTGAAACAATCACGCACCACTCCCCCAACACCAGCCGAACCTGGATACCCAGAGAGCTCCCCTCAAAATTTAACTTAAAACTCCCAAACTCTGATACTACCCAAATACTCATGGGTCTCATCTTAACTCTACCCAAGAGTGTTACCCAAATACTCATTGATCTCATCTTAAAGCTACCCAACAAAAACAAGTTTGGCAAGTTCAACAGAACATCAGGTTATGAAATCCCCTCAATCCTCCTTAGTAACCAAGAACCAAGACCAAATAAACAGTTTGACATTACTAAGCAATATGTCAAATGAGAGACTCTTACCTTCGAACGTCTGCCTATTTTTTTTCTTTCCAAAGTTCCCAAAGAGTAGTCCCTCTCACTATTTGCCAATCCAAAACCCCACAGAAGGTAAATGATTAAAGGCTAAATGAGACACTAAGCCCAACACGGATCGGGGAAGTGAAGGGTGAACCCCAAGAAGCCCAAAAAACCAATACCAAATTCTATAAGCAACGTGTCAGTGGATAAACAGATTCCTCATCCACTTTATACATCAAAGAAATGTTAGGTAAGATTTTATCCCTCTTAATCAAATTGTCCACCATCAGAATTTTATTTTGGATAGCTAACCACAAAAAAACCTGCACTTA